TTTATTTATTATATTCACGAACATCAAGACAAGAAAGATTGTAATATATAAAGTAAATAAAGTATTTGTAATTTTTTAAAATTAATAAACAATAGAAAAGCGCATAATTTATGATATTATATAATTTTATTTTTTGGAATTTGAATTAATGTTTGTTAGCCAATCAAAATTTAATTACAAATAAAATATTCAAATGAAAAGTTCCTTTAGTGTAAAGCTATCACTCTTCTTTTTCTCCTTTTTTGCATAAGTCCAACTGGTTTTTGGAGTTTTGCTTTCTAATTCTTCCTTTATCAAAATTCCTATTTAAGAAAGGATATCGAGAGAGATTTCTTTCCATAAACTAAACTTATCAAAAATGAGGATTATATTCGTGGTCATGTCCCCGTCATCGCCTACTCCCTACTTTACTCTGCTATACATATAACAAAAATTGCCATTGAGAAATTTGTTTGTACAGGTGTGACTATCAATTTTTTTAACAACCAAATATGGTCTCCATTCATTCATGCGTTCGTAAAATAATATAAATTTTTGGGTTTAAGTTATAGATGGATTAAAATTATTATAATATAAACATTAGGGTTAGTTAAATATATGTAGAAAAGAAACTTTGGCAAGAAGAAGAGAATTTGGATTCAAGTTTCCGTTAAACTTAATTAATTAATGACTAGCATATTATAAGATAGTATTATAAATCGTATTATAAATCTAAATTATTATCGATATGATAATGATATGTTTTTAAAGAGATACTGAGAATAGACGGCAGGGGGTTAGGTATGCGAATATAAGAGGAAGCATGTGCACCATCTTCTAATTTCCTTCCATTTCCATCCCTATTTGTCTCCAAAATAATGCCATTAAAAAAATTAGTGTAACCCAAAACCAATAATATATTACTTTATTTACCTCTTGCCCACATCCCTCCCATACTTCACTTTCTAAAAAGTTTTAAAATTAAAAATTAATTTTTATTCTATAGTTTGATAAAAGTCTCATGTATGGGTTAAATTTAGGATAACTTTATCAAACTATGGTAACAAAGATTTTAAACGTACGATTTATAATAATTTAATCCAGGTTGGAAAAAAAAAAAAATTGGTAATTTATTCATGAAGGGAGCATAAACGAAAATCATGTTTTCTCTTCTTGAAAAAAGATGTATAAAGAAAGGAAAGGAGAGGGATGTCATCATAAATAGAGACAAAATTGTGTAACGAACCCTGACATGTAGCCTAATATTCTAATACAAAATAATCTGTTATTTATTTATTATTATTATTAAAAGAAATTGGTGTCACTCAATTTACTTTGTACTTTAAAAATACGCAAATAATGTAACACTTTAATTTTGAATGAAGAGTGCTTAAACTTAAACTATCATTTCCTAAACTTTCTAAATCACTCCAATTAACTTATCAAAATGTTCGAGATTCGAATCATATTCTATACCATTGAATTAAAAAAATGGTAAAAGATGAATTTAAACTTCTGTATTTTACTATTTGACTATAACGATATAGACATCCCATAAAATAGGAAATATTGTCACAAGTGTCAAATAAAATGGTCCAATAAATCTTACAAAATCTAGCGGTATATACTAACTCATCAAAGCTTGAATAAAGGTTAGTTTTGTCGAGATTTGATCCACAAAATGCTTTCCGTTATTTTGACCCAATCTTGACAAGTGATATATACTAACTCATCAAAGCTTGAATAAAGGTCAGTTTTGTCGAGATTTGATCCACAGAATGCTTTCCGTTATTTTGACCAAATCTTGACCAAGTGATATATACTAACTCATCAAAGCATGAATAAAGGTTAGTTTTGTCGAGATTTGATCCACATAATGCTTTCCGTTATTTTGACCCAATCTTGACCAAGTGATATATACTAACTCATCAAAGCATGAATAAAGGTTAGTTTTGTCGAGATTTGATCCACATAATGCTTTCCGTTATTTTGACCAAGTGATATATACTAACTCATCAAAACTTGAATAAAGGTTAGTTTTGTCGAGATTTGATCCAAAGAATGCTTTCCGTTACTTCGACCCGACCTTAACCCATGTAAAATAAATGTGCATTAATGTTTTAATTTGTGCTATTGTAAAGGTTAATAAATAAAAAGGGATTCTATTGAGTTCATGGAATCTAAGATTTATATAATATAGTTTTATTAGCCACATTTATTGGTTAAAAGTCAAATATCGAATTTGATATGAGTTAGCTTAAGATTAAAAAAGACATGATTTTTTTATATCAATCATTATATTTGGTAGCATGAGCTATAAATGTGGTCAAACTATAGTAGAAAATAATTCTTTAAGAATAAAAGAATAGTGATGAAAAATAAGTCGGCCATTAAAATGGTTAAGGTCCCTTGGGGCTTAGGTCTTCACTCCTTCAAGACTCCAAAGGTCACGCCCACAAATAAAATTATTATGGAAAGGAGTCTACCTTCCTTGCACTGTGATAGCTATCACGAAACTCAAACATCAAAAAATGAGTTTCCATAAAAGGAAAAGCAGAAAAGAGAGCAAGCAAACAGAGCATGTGTTCAAGAACACTAGAAACACAAACAAAAGAAACAACTGAGCTCACATTATTCTTATTTATGTCACTCAAACTCATTTATGAAATTTTAGAATGAATATATCATATAATTTATTTAGCCCATAGATAATAGTCTAAGAAGATGGCTACATCCCTTTCTCTAGATAGGAAAACTAATAATCTTGTTATGGAGGTTAGTTTCACTTATGTCTCAGGAGAGTAAAGAGTCTTCCGCTATCTTATATAACAACTATACTTTCGTTTCAGAAGTGATTGGTTGATCTAAAAGAAAGGACAACAAATCAAGTATGATGATTGATCCTCACCAACCATAAGGATATGAGAACTCTATTTCATCTTTGATGTCATTGCTAGAGTAACGGGCAAAGGCTTCTCAGTATTGATTCGTGTGGAATTAACATACCTGACGACTAAATTTTTGGTGGGAATCATCACCCTTCACGAACTTTCTTTCCTAAATGAAATAGTTCCTTTAATTTTCAAAACCACTTTCTTGACGAAATAAAAAGTTTGTCTTAGAAAGTAAGGATTTGAGTTGATTTCTAGGAAAGAGAGAAGAAAGGGAATGGGAAATAGGAAACAAGTTAGGCTAATGCATAAAGTATGGAGGAAAATGAAAGAGAAAAAGAAAGTCTTTAAGCCACCATTAAATGTGGTTAATGCATGTTTATGTCATCGAGAAGGTGGGTTGGTGTGCAGTTTAAATTGAAAACCAAAACAATATTCAAACAACAAAAACGGAAATAATATGGATATTTAATTTTATATAGAATTAGAAAATTGGAGTCCTCCTCATACCCACATACCCACATGTAATCTAATTTTGTTTTATTAAATTTCAACGAGAAATTATTTAAAGAGACTGCCACACCGACAATTTCGTAGTCTTGGAAAACTTTCTTTTAATTTCTTTTGGGAGAGGTTTTCTCTACTAAGAAGAAGAATCATGTCATATTGTAACGTACTCTTGTTAAATAATTTTCCATTTGAAAACCAAACTTTTAAGTGTTTTTAAAATTTTAGTTTTCAACCTAGAGGCGTACACCAACCACCTCATGCCTTTTTACCACTTTATTATATCACTCTGAAAGATTCAAAGGGGGAGGCAGATCCACTCTCTTCCCATTAAAAACCAAAGGGATTCTTACTACAGATTAGTGCATTAGTTTTTCACGTCTAGACACTTTCAGCCTAACCACTATATAATGGGCACTTTTTGCCAAAACACACACAAAAATAATAAAAACCAGCTTTTCTGTAATCACAGGTCGAAACAATTGATTCCCATGCCCTTACTCCTCCCCTAACCTCGCAGAAGCTTTATATAGTCCAAAAGAATCAAAAGACACAACCAGATTTCTCACAGAACATGCTCCACAAAAGGTTAAAAGCAACGGAGTTTCCATCATTTCTAGAAAGAGGGTATTATGGTAAAATGCATGTGTGTAACAGGGGCCATATGCTGAGTAGACCAGACATGTGTTACCTTGAATGTGATGAGTTGAAAGCCAACAATTAAGAAGACAATTTTCATCAACTTGGAAGAGAGGTATGGCGGTTGAAGAAGGCAAATCCCCACATGGGTAGGTGGGGGGTGGCCATTGAGGTAGGTGAAAACTGAAAAGTTTTTCCACATGGTGTTAAGATGCAAGGTTTGTGTCATACACAATATTTTATTCTTCAGTCATAAGAGAGATCATACAGGCAAAGTATCTCTAGATTTCAATTTCAGAACCTAACTGGCAAGTGGCGATTAAAATATTGCCAGCCGCTCTGACCTGGTCATTTAGGTGTTAGTTTTTATGGGCTTGCAGCCCAGCCGTCAACCCAAATGACATTACGTTTTGTGTCTGACTACTATGTATGAAACCGTAAAAATGTAATCTTAAACGCAAGACAGTCGAGAAAAGAAAGCCAGGCTTTCCTAATAGGGCTGTTTTTTTCTTCCTTTTCTTTTTCCTTTGAAGGTTGGTTGAGTTTGCCGTTTTAAATGTTAAGGATAGACAAATATACTCTAGCTTATCAACTTAAACTTTTGAATTTTGAGTTCAACGACATCGGGAGTTTTTGGGAGTTCGGGAATTTGAACTGTTGACCTCTTGGTTGGGAAGCATTTGCGTAAATTAGATGAGTTTTACTTACGTTGATAATTTTAACCTTTTGAATTTAGTGGCAGTTTAAGGTGAAAAAATGTAAAAAAAATTCATGTAAAGGACCAAATCAAAATCTCTAGAAAAAGTAGTTGTTGCTGCTAACCTGGAGAATGACCCAATTTGCTGATTGTAAGCTGAAGCTCATTGCACGACGATTGGGCTCCCTACTTTCATTCTAAACGTCCTGATTTTGTTTTACCTGGAAAATCATTTCCCTTTGAGGAAACAAAAAAAAAAAAGAGAGAGAGACAGATCACTAAGTTAATTCTGCGAAAAGAATGCTGTTACATTAGAAGATTTAGCACAAGCATTGAACTGGCTTTGGATTATACATTTATGTGGACAAATAAAAACAAATAAATATAAAAAATAAAAATTAAAACAAATCTTCAACTGGTTTTGTGCTCACTAAAATAAAAACAAGGACAAAAGGAAATCCCAGATCTTAAAGAGACTGAATCATCAGTCATCATCGCATGTTTCATTGTCTATAGTTCTGTGTCACAAAATCGGATCATCAATTCAGAGACCATCCTCCGGGCAAATGGAATATAGCTCAAACTATACCTGGAACAGGATAAACCAAGAAAGTCATGGCCCATTCTAGTTTAGATTCAAGAAAAGTCTCGGAAGATATGATCAAACACATTTTTCAACGAAGAAGAGCCTTTATCCTCTAGTTTCAAGAAACTTGAATCAAATGGAGGAAGGTCAATGAAAACGTTAAACGTACCATATAAGTGCGCATATCTCACTTGTCATCGCAATCACTGTCAAGATCTTATTGTGGATCTGAAAAATGAAAAAGAAACCGCAAAGACACACAATTACAAACTAAAAGATGAGGCATTAACTGTTTGCAGGTCCATTTCAAGTTCATAAAACATTTTGATACATGTTTTATTCAAGAGTTAAAGGAAAACAATGCCAAAACGGTCTAATGGGAGATTTTGGGAATAGACCAACATACTGTCTAATAGAAAAAATCCATTAACGTTGTGTTTCAAAGATGTCTAGAAGATTGTTTATTGAATATCTGTGTGTGCTAGGAATTAAAGTCTGTTTTCCCCTATGATGTCAAAAGTCATATGCATTTTGAATTGTAACTTACCAAGAGAGCACAAATAAGAGCTAGAACAACACATCCCAGATAAATAGCAGTTGCATATATACGAACTGAATCAAACATCATTCGCATTTGTTGCCCAGGTCCAAAGAGGAAAGCTGTGCTGCCAAATAAGAGGCGGTTTAGAATATTAATACCTCAAGGAAAAGGAACAACACAGTGAAAAAAACCATTAAAGGGTTTTCCTCCCCGATAATCTTCCTTTTGTTTGTACATCAATAGACTTCTTCTGAGGAAATTTATGAAATAGAAGATTACAGAAGAATTAGATGCAAACAAGAACAATGAATTGGCAATGAAAGTAAACAAAAGTGCTGCTCCTAGCAATACTTCTTAACTGCTGACATAAAAAATGTTATAAAAGAGCTGTCTAATTTAGCTGGTTAACCAACCTTCCGACTGCCAGAACATTGCCAAATGTAAAGAGTGCAGCAAATTTAATTGGCTTGGCAAAAACAAGCAGTGACTGCATCAAGAAAAAAATAGAGCAAACACATCAAATGCAGTTCCAGCAAAAGAGCTAGCAAGAATACAGAGATGGGGTATGTTATTCTAGAATCATAAAAATCCAAATGGGATTTCAGAGGGAAAAAACATGAGATAAAAATATCACTGATTAAGAAAGAACAATGAACAAAATCATCTGTTTGATACTGTGCAGTGAAAAGGGTATGGCATTGGTTCAGGACAAATAGCCAGTAACGCATTACGTCATTGACAATTATCTTTAACTTTCGAACAGGCTCATTGTTTACCGATTAAGATAATGCAATGTTGAAGAAGATTTTTGTTTGTTAATCATGTATTTCCACCTAACTGCAAACCCCAAATTGCTTTTAATGCATTAACCCATATGATTTTAGCTTTTGTCTCAAGTTTGTTACTCGATAACAATTGGATAACATCTTTTTTTACTGACTTTTATAAGTGCACTGCATTTTATTGAGTTGAGATTCCCAACACAGTTAACAGTAGTAACAGGGAAAAAAGAGGCGATCTTGTCCCTTTTCTTCTTTGCAACAAAGGATGCACTAACAGGGTTTTAAAACTATGAGTTCCCTTTGAATCCCTCCCCTCAGCTGAATTTACACCTCATCACGTAATGTCCACACAAAGATGGGAACTTACTCAGGGCTTCTTTCTTCCTGATTTGTAACAACTCAAGCCCACCGCTAGCAGATATTAAAACGTTCTCCTCCCCAACCGATGTAGGATCTCACAATCCACCCCCCTATAAAGAATGTTTCGTTCTCCTCCCCAACCGATGTGGGATCTCACAACCCACCCCCTTCGAAGACCAGCGTCCCTGCTGGCACTCGTTCTTTTCTCCAATCGATGTGGCACCCCCCCAATTCACCCCCTTTCGTGGCCCAACGTCCTTGCTAGCACACCGCCTTGTGTCCACTCCCCTTCGAGGCTCAGCCTTCTCGCTGGCACATCACCCGGTGTCTGGCTTTGATACCATTTGTAACAGCCCAAGCCCACGCCGATATTATCCCCTTTTGGGCTTCCCCTCAAGGTTTTTAAAATGCGTTGGCTAGGGAGAGGTTTCCACACCCTTATAAAAAATGTTTCGTTCTCCTCCCCAATCGATGTGAGATCTCACATGATTGTTGCAAACAACTTCTTGCTCAATGCCAATTTCTGGTCAGTTAGGTTCTCAACGTTGTCATATTCCAAGAACATCTTCCCAAGCCTCACCTACGGTCATTTCTTGTCTGCAGAAACTACAGACAATCTAACAAATCCTCCCAACAGATGACTTCCCTTTCCCACCCACCCAGAAGTCTCTAGAATAAGGCTTTCCTTACATTTCTTTTAAGGAGAAAAACCTCTTTCAATGTTTTTGAGAAGAGAAACGTATTTCATTGCGAACGAAATAAAGGGAGTAAAAACTCCCAACACCTAAAGGTGAATTACATGAAAACTCTCTGATTGGAAATCAACAAAGAAAGAGAATAATAGGTAAAACGTTTTCCTTCAATTTGCCACATCAATTCTAGTGAATACTTCAATAAATCATAGGAATTTGATAGCAGTAGCACCTAACCCTCCTTACTTAACCTCCTCTGTTCTCTCCATAGATATTGGTTCGAGTCTCGTTCCACAATTCATCAGAATCGGTAAAAAGTCCGCCATATCCATTGGATAACTAAGGCCCGTTTTCCTTCATTGAAATCCAAATCTCGAGTCCTCCGTTTTCAATAGGTAGAAACAATCTCCCAATGAACCAAGCGACTTGATTTTTCTTTAGAATTCCCTTCTTAGAGGAAATTCCTTGGCTTGCTATCCCAAATCAATAATTCCTTGTTTGTTGTGTTTTTTTAATTCATTCTTGAAGTCCCAAGGACCAACCAGTGGATAGTGAGAGAATAAAAATCTTATTTACATCCCAAGACAATCAATGGAAATAAAGAAAACCCGAGTTATCGATCATACCCAGAGCGTAACTTAGGTCCAAATCCAAAAAAAGCTGTTCGCCATTTACACAAAATGCATACAGCAAAAACATATATGCCATTGTATCAAATGAAGAAATCGCTTATATGTTCATACCACGATCATGCAAACCACGCCCCCCGTCAAGCAGCCTCCAAACCCGTATAGTCTCTGTTGATCAAAAATCCAACACAGTATGAAAACTGGGAAAAAAAAAATAACAAAAAGCAAAATCCATAAAATTTTCCACAAGTGGAGCTCTCTGATCGTTGTTTAAAGTACCTGTACAGGAGTTAGAGAGCATAGATCTTCCGAATCTTCGTCCAGCAAGCTCTGACCACGCTCTTCATCATCGCCAAATACGCCTAGGCCGAGCTTCCACATTTTGATGGAAATTCAGTATTGGGGTGAGCTCCCGTGGTCTTCGAAGGTGTCGACCAAAGTTTCGGATACGGGAGGACGCTGGACCTTAAGCTGGAAGACGTGGGACTTGAGGAATGCTGATTGCTCGTAGGTAAACCAAACCCACGTGCTAGAGGCTCAACCAATAAAGCACTTTCGAGCCAATTTTGAGATATGAAGCCCTTTCGAGCCAATTTTGAGATATGAAGCACTTCCGAGCCAATTTTGAGTTATGAAGCACTTTGAACCACGACATGTTTTGGATGGTAGAGTAGAAAGGAGGAGGGAGTCGTGCTCCAAGGTGAATGTGTACACTATTTTGAGTTCGACAATTTGGAGAATTAGGGTTTAGTCGATTCTCAAACTACGGTCGAGAAATTACTTTTGATCATGTAAACAATACAATGAATAAAAAATATCTACTAGCTATGAAACGATAAGAGAATAAACTTGTTAACAGTAGATTGCTTCAAATAGTTGCGGCTATAAATGAGACAAAAAAATAAAATAAAATAAAAAAATACAAATACAAAATGTGAAGTAGGGTTTTAGGCATGGTATAAGTGAAAAAATTGTTTAAACTAAAATCCCCTAATTCTCATTTATGAAAACGTTTTTAAAAAAATTCATTTATGAAAATGTACTAAAGAGAAATAATTCTTGGAAAGAAAGAAAAGGGTTTATATTATCGTTCAAAATGTTAATTGGATATAAAATGAATTCTAAAGAAACAGCCCCAAATTAAACAGCGAAATCTCGAAGGCCTTCTTTCAGAGGAAGCATCTTCAATACAAGCTCTGGCGCGAAGCTGCGCTTGCACCTGAATCTGCACCAGCAACCCAGGGCTGAAGCTGATAGTGAGAGACCAGGTTGGTGACTTAACATGTCGTCTACGCTACTAGAGGTGACGCGGTCTTCGCACGAGGAGGTGGAGCGACTTGAGCGGCTTGTAGTGAAGGAGCTCCAAAATGAACCTGCTTCCGGCCGGGACCGTTTGCTACAGAGTCACCGAGTCCGCAACATGATCGACACCATCGTGTCCACCACCGACAAGCTCGTACTTTCCTCTCTATGCTTAATATTTGCTGTGATTTCTGTCTGCTGCGTCGAACATTTGAGGACGTAATGGGGCATGGAAGTTTTAGGTTTTAGGCTCTCTTCGGTGGGATTTTTTGTTTTCTTCTAGGGTGGGCGTCTGCATTTGAATTTTAAAATTTCCAATGACAAGCAAGTTGAAGAATTTCATTTCGCGGCATTTGGGAAGAGATTTATTTGCTTCTATTAGCATACTCTACTGTGACTGCGAAAGTTAATATAGAAATTTCCATTTCCCTTGAAAATAATTAATTCTCTCTTCACCATAATTTTGGTTTTAAAATGGAATGGAAGGGGAGGAACCATACAAATTCGGATATGCTCCAATTAGGAAGCTTGGTGATGGAAGATTGGGCAGTTTTCTTTGAGTTGGGAAAAATGAGTTTTGCAAAATTCATGTTTTGAATAAATTTTGTAATAAGCTAGATGGGTTATTTTGTTTCATTTGTGCTAGTCTCCTTATATTATCGTTGCTTGACGGGCATGCTTTTCTTTAATCTGGACTGAACTCTTTTCTACCCCCTCTCCGCCATTATTGCTTTTGTGTGCAGGTTGAGATTTATGAAGATAAGGATAATGCAAGGAAAGATGAGATTGCGGCACTTGGAGGGCAAACAACTTTAGGAACCAACGTTTTTAGTGCATTTTACGATAGACTGAAAGAGGTCAGTAGCTATGTTTCATTATCTTAGCATCTATCTATTTCAGAATTTATTTAAATCTTTCACTTGAATGTGAGCTAGTGAATCTGGAGAAAAGGGATGCAGTTCAAGTGTAGCATTCTATTATTTATTTATTTTAATAAGAGGTAATGTCATTCATGAAATGAAATGTAAAAAAAATGTAGATGGGTAGCCGTAGAAGGCATTTTTTCCCCAATAATTGTCCAAAGAAATTCTTTGCCTAAGAAAGCCCTACTATTTCTTTCAGGCCATATAGGCAACAAAAATGAAGTGACCCACGAAATTTTGACTTCATTTTTAAATGGCTGTGCATCCAATATGAGTGCAGGGTTTCTTTTGAGGGCGTTTGGGAGAGGATTCACCCAATTGAAGTTGCTGAAGATAGTTTTTAGAAATTAGAGGCATGAGGGCTAGTGAGGAGAAGATGTCATTGAGTTTTTTGGCTTGCTTATCATATGTAGCACAAATTGAGGGAGGCAAAACAACCAATACTGCTTTGACTATTGATACAGCCGAGCAAGAGTTACCAAAGAAAAACTGTGTGCATGCATGGGTTTTTTCTAGTGCAAAACTGAGAATGTTTGCTTCAAAGAACATGATGGGAACCGTGTATCTAGAAGTTCCTTAGAATCTTTTCAATGATGTTTACCAACTTTGGCCTTTTGAAGAGGGACATGGAGTAAGTGGAGGTTCAGAAAGATGGCTTGAGTGAGAGCGAGTCTACTGTCAACCTGCATTAAAGAGGGGTGTTGTTTTGCCTTTCAACCTTGCTAGTATCAAGTTTTGAAAGGAGACTTTGTGAGGTAAGAGCTAGTCTACTGTCAGCCTGCCTTAAAGAGGGGTGTTGTTTTGCCTTTCAAGCTTGCAAGTATCAAATTTCAAAAGGAGGCCTTGTGAGGGTTGTCATGAGAGGCAAGCCAAGGCGGGAAGAGGGTCATTCCTCTACGCTACTGCTAATGTAGGTAGCAATTGATTTTAGGCTGTCTTTTGGAAAATTTATGCTAAGGAGTGTGGTTTTGGATAGGTTAGAGTTCAGATTCGATGCTTCCTTAATTTGAAAGGTTTTGGTTTTTTTTTTTATTCTGCTGGAGAGAAGCATATCATCAATTTAGGAAGTGATAAATGAAACCTTCAACATACACTGCTTGAAAACCTCAAGAGAATCATCCGTAATATAAAAAAAAGAAAAAGAAAAAGAAAAAATGAAAGGAGAACCTTACCTGTACCTCTGGAGGCAAAGATTTTTCCTCTTTGCTTGACGTTGGTAGTTATAGAGAGGTTTGTATTTAAGATGCTTGTGAAAATTCTATTCCTACATTTCTTTCCAAAGCCTTTTGAAGTTAGGTCTAGCTTGGACGACCAACTGGAAAGTTCATTGATATTCCTATTCTTGCTCAACTGTGGAGGCACGTTTCTTAGAAAACTTAGTAAATACAATACTCCAGTGAATGAGGAAAATATAATTTTGTGTTCACTAGTAAATCTGAATTATTATTTCAAAGTTATCAGTTGCTTTGTATCAAGTTCAAATTACTTTGTGCGCAGATTCGTGAATACCATAGAAGGCATCCAGCTGCACGGGTTGTTGATGTTAATGAGGAGGATGGTCTACTCAAAGAGGAACCACAAATTGAGTTCAGTGGAGAGGTCTCTCTGTTTCTTCTCTTACCTTGAATTTGCATAGAATTGCTTGACTTCAGTTCTTTCATGGTGAAACCTGTATTTTCGTGAAATTGATCTACTGCCTCATTGCAGGCCATGTATGGAAACATGCTCCAAGTCCAATCATGAAAACAATCCTCATGCTTGCATTTTCATGTTTTTATGGTGTCATAATTAGATTTTGAATATGACACAATGCATTCTTATCAAAGAAGAGCCTTTTCTATTGCCTAGTGATTGGGAGCTTAAGTCTTTATTTTCCCTAATTTTTTGTATTAATGCAATGTACAAATTTGCCTTATCTGGCAAAGGTAAATTCACCCTTGGGAATTCACTTTGGTCATAATAACCAAAAGTTGTTTTTGATGTTATTAGGTCTTATTCTTTTGTATTGAGGTCTTTTCTTGTAGAATAGTTGGTTGGGTTCCTTTTTTTGGGCTGCCACTTTTTGTTGGCCTCATCTTTTGCTAGTTCTCGTGTTTTTCTGGCCTTTTCTTGGCTTTCTTGCATTTCTTTATTTTAATGAAAGGTTGTTTTTGGATTACAAAAAACTGTTAGTGGTAATAATAAGATCTCATAATTTGTTTCTTAGCCTTAAACCGCTTATCTTTTTCTAAGAGAATAAATTTCAGCCTTGGAGACTAAGCAATGCTTAGTTATGGGCTTGTGTTAACTAGTGGGGATCATCTTGAGAGAGCTCCCTTTTGGTGGGTTAATTGTTGATTCAAATCTTATTTTGGTTCCTAAAGTTCCTTTCTTCATTGATTTTTATTATTTTACTTTTAAATGTTTATCTCTTGTTCTTGAACTTCAAGTAAATATCTACTTTGTTCCTTGCAGCTAAATTTTTGTATTACATTTAATAGAAATTTTATAGGTACTATATGAAAATTTTGTTCTAAGGTACACATAAGTTTGATATCCAATTTGAAAAATAGCTGATGTATGGTTTATGTTAAACATAATATCAAAATGTAAAAAATATGTGAACAAGAATCAAATGAGTATTTATGAATTTTAAGGACTAAAAAGTTGTGAGGACCAAAACAATGTAAATGTGAAAGTTCAAGGTTGGTAATAGGATTTCCAATATTGTTTTGGTTACATGCATGAATGAAATTGGAACTTCTAACTCCCTATATGTGTAATGTGCATGTGTATCAATATTTTCCGTTTCATTTATTGACTTGTTTATGTTTTTAGGAAGCATTTGGACGGTATCTTGACTTGCATGAACTCTACAACCAGTATATTAATTCGAAATTTGGAGAGGCCATCGAGTACTCTTCTTACTTGGATGTTTTTTCACAGCCCCAGAAAATCTCTCGCAAACTAAAGAATTCAAGGTAAGCAGATCAAAGTTCTTTCTCAAATATGATAGTTCTGTTGATTGATGATTTGTTTTGAATTAAATAAATGTCTTATTTTGAGTTCTAATATCTACTTTATACAGACAATACAGGGAATACTTGGAGAATCTTCTTGCTTATCTCACTTACTTTTTCCAGCGTACAGAGCCCTTACAAGATCTTGATCGTATATTCTCAAAGGTTACTATATGATAGTGTTTTCTTTCCCAATTTTAACATTCAATTATCAATTATGCATTATGCTGGCTTATGGTTTTCTGCATGCAACAATTATAATCATTTGTAAGCGTGCTGTTTGCAAGCTATCCATTGTATGCATGTTTGCATAGAACTTTAGGCTTGCATCTTTCTAAAGACGATTTTGATTATGTGATAATCATTTGTAAGCGTGCTGTTTGCAAGCTATCCATTGTATGCATGTTTGCATAGAACTTTAGGCTTGCATCTTTCTAAAGACGATTTTGATTATGTGAGGATCTTTTGATAGGTTGAATCTGAATTTGAAGAGCAATGGATTACCGGCACAATTGAAGGATGGGAGAACACTGTGGAAGATAATGGCCATGATCCTGCCCAGCTTAGTCTTATTGATCTTGACTATTATAGCTCGGTAGAAGAGCTGGTGGAGCTAGGTCCTGAGAGATTGAAGGAGGTAAGAAGTGATATCTGATGCCATATTATATATGTTGTGGAAGTTCTAAATATGGCATTACTGCACTACGGCTTTTATTATTTTTTAATTTTTTAATTTTTTAATTTTTTATAAGAAACAATGAGGAAAAAATTCCACCAAAAGAACAGGAAACATCTTCTGGACCGGGGGTGGACGGCTTTCTTTTGCTTTGTTCTTCATTGTTATATTACTGTGTGGCAGGGGTTGGCAGCATTGGGGCTGAAGACTGGTGGTACAGTTCAGCAGCGTGCAGAGAGGCTTTTCCTCACTAAGGTATTATTTTACTGCCTTTTTGCCCAAAATAGGACGTCAATGTTGTGAACCTACAATATAAGCATACTGGCATGGTTCACGTGTGTATAAGTTTTTTTAACGAGGAATTGATTTCTTATGTCCTGCGTTGTGCTATCAGCATAACTGCTTGTCGAGTCATTTTCTCTGTGCTTAGGTTTTTAATAAAATTTTGTTTCTTGTAAAAAAGAAACAGCGCATTGTTGAAAGTTTATGGTGGTAGCACATACACATCGTATGATGTTCGTAGTATAGCAAAAGCCTTTTTCTTTTCTGTCTTTTAGATTAGTTTGTGTGCTGATTTTCTTTATTGATTAAAAAAGAATGGACAGCAAAGTATGATTTTAAGGCCAGGTTGCAATACGATGACCAGCGTATAGTTTAAACCATGAATTTGTTTTGGTTATGTGTCCTTCCATTACCAAGGAAGATTGGGTCTTGTTTTAGTGCGATCATCAATATGCTTGGATTTTCCCATATATTACTTGCTGATCTAGTATTTTTGTTTCGGAAATAAACCTATCCCCCTTTATGCTAGTTATGTTCTATGTGATAAGAATATTTATCTCATTGTCCTCGAGCATTGACTGTTAGGAAACATCTGATAGTTTTATTTTCTGAGATGTCATATAATCTTACACCACTGTTTTTTTTTTTTTTTTTCAAGGCTTGGAATCTTATTTTATTAATTTTACAGTTCATTTGACACCCCTATTCTTTGCAGCATACACCTCTTCAATTGTTGGACAAAAAACACTTTGCAAAACCGTCCCGGCAACCAGTTCAGAATGGGGCAGCTGCAGCTTCACTACACAATGAAAATTTGAAACAAGTTGCTCTGATGGAAGCAAAAATTGAAAAATTGTGCGATCTTCTGGATGAGGTTAGCTTTTGAGAATGATCAAAATGTCCCTTTGTTTTCTTGTAATTTCCATAATGTATATATTCCAAAAGTAGTAATTTTGGGATAATTTGTTTTATTTGTGGCCACTTTCAGACTATCGACAGAACCAAAGACAACATTGTTAAGAAGCAAGCCTTAACATATGAGGAAATTGAAGCAGAACGTGAGGAGGTGAGGAAACAGTAGTTTGTTTTTTGTCCTTTCAAGACCCCCCCTTGTTTCTCTCCCTTAAGCTATTTTGGGATAAATTTTTGGAATACATTATTTATATCTAAGATGGTTACCCTGCATGTCATCCACAGAAGCATTGTCTGCCTGGAGAAGTGTGCGTTTGATAGTGTCATGGATATTTGTATCAGAAATTTATTTAAAAGTTTGCACATATGCATCCCAATCTGGCTTTATGGTCTACTGATTTCAAATACTAGTTAGAACCTTATCAAGGTCACCAAATTTACTTCTTGATGGTGAATGGCCTGCACTAATAGCGATGGTTTATTATGTGGGTTCGAGATCTTTTGTAGCTGTGCAAGTTTGTTAATGCCCGGTTGGCAAGAAACTGAGCTTTTAAGAAACCGTGCATCATTTACTTAAATCTTTTTAATATTTAATAGCCTTCTGTCTGATGCGTCAATTCTGGCAGGAAGAGACGCAAGCTGAGTCTGAAAGTGATGATGACGAGCAGCAAATTTATAATCCGCTCAAGCTCCCAATGGGTTGGGATGGGAAACCCATACCTTACTGGCTCTACAAGCTTCATGGCCTTGGTCAGGTAAATCATTACCTCCACGAAAACCCAAGCCAATATGCATATTAGGTGTTTAATAGTTATGTGCCCACTTACTAGGCAGTCACTGTACTTTGTCATTTTTCACTTCTCCGAAAGCGAATTTCTCTTGAGAAAGCACAATTTTCATTTCAGGGAGCGCATCAACTGAACTTAATTCTTCTCTGGATTTGACTGTATTTGCTGGTATCTAGTTTGTTGTCTTTTCAAGCCAATATGTTGATGTATGTTTGAAAGTGAAACATGATATGATATCGCATAGGACATAACTTCCTACAGCAAAGTCTCAAGCCATTACATTGTGGAGATCATAGTTGCACTTGTTATTTCCATAAACTATATTGTTCAACAGCATGCTGTGGTTGCTTTTGTTTTCAACTTTTTGAAGTTCACGTTGAAAGATTTGCTTGAGAATGTGATAAATTTGTGCAACAGGAATTCAAATGTGAGATATGCGGGAACTATAGTTATTGGGGTCGTAGAGCTTTTGAGCGACATTTCAAGGAATGGCGTCATCAGCATGGAATGCGTTGCCTTGGTATTCCAAATACAAAGAACTTCAATGAAATCACATCAATTGAGGTAGGTCTTTGCTAGTACTTTGACCTCCCTTTCTGTTAGCGTTTATTATTATTATTATTATTATTGGGTAAGGATCTGCACTTTTCATTGATAAATTAAAATGTACTGTAAAGGAAACTCAACCAAGGAGGGAGCTTACAAATATGTGGCCAATTGTTATTACTAATGAAAGAATCTAACTGTAATGAGTAGAAAGGGTAGACAAGAGGAGCTGATATTTTACTTTTTTACAATTTATGGACATTTTGGGCTCGTTATTCACTTTTGGGATCTTACAGGAAGCAAAAGACTTGTGGAAAAGAATTCAAGAACGACAAGGAGTTAGCAAGTGGCGACCAGATCTGGAAGAAGAATACGAAGATAAGGAGGGTAACATTTACAATAAGAAGACATATACAGATCTGCAACGCCAGGGGTTGATATAAGAATCATGGACTTCTTTCTTATCGGTAACTTCCATCTGAATTTCTCTCCACTCAAAACTGACTCCTGACTTCTATGTCAACCACCTGAGGAAGAAAGGAAGATATATCCTTCTCTTGCTTCCTTATTGAATGGTTTAGTAAATGGGATATTTTCAAATCTTTCTTTTTTAGGTTCCTATTATGGATAGATGGTCGTTGAGGTTTGGGAGAAGCACTTAGTCATGTTGATTGAATGGAGATTATGAAATGCTCTAGCCAATTTTATTCGTAGTCAGATTGTAATGCATTTTTGGAAGCGAAATTTGAGAAATCACGTTCTATCCTGATTTAGAAATGAGCTGAGATTATTTTGAAGTTCCTTTTATGAATTCGACATGAACGTCGCCATCTATCTTTGCTTATTTCAATTACATAGAAAATGAGGAAGTGCTGAAAACGTTGCTTTCGTCAGCTTTCCTCGCTCCTCGTTTGTTTTTGAAACGGTGATTGCGAACCCTTTCTCTGACCACTCCCGCTCTGATGCTGACGTCACTTTTGTTTATGATTCCAGTTCCTATAATTTATTATTATTGGCGCTTCTATCTGGTATGTACGACTCACATTTTGCAGCTCAATTTCCAACAAGTAAAGCCCTTCGGTGTCAAAAGGGAGGGAAGTAGAAGAGGATGGGTCAACAACATTCAGTTAATCAGCTAACTATTAAGAAAGAAGAGAGTACAAAATTTACATCAATGCCCTAAACCAGAACCCCAGCTAATCAATATGTAGCCTAACCTTTATTATTAAGCCTTAAGGTTTTGAAATAGAACCAAAAAAAAAAAAAAAACTGCAAGAACTTTCCTTTCCTTTTCTGCTGTTGGCTGCAAGCAGCGCAAATTGAGTATAAGGTAGATGAGGAGATTGGGTTAGCATCTTTGAGATGAAACAATGACTGATGACTGTTAATGTGTATCCTATTGCCCTAATTCATGAACTTCCGACAGTTTGGCGCTTTACATAGACACGGGACTTTGAATTCATCGGGTTCGTCGGGATCGAACAAGTAATCATACCTACCAAACCAAACCAAACCAAACAACAACACTTTCATTTAGAATCATTCAAACTCCATGCAGGAGCAAGTGTACGAGCGTGAGCATGTGCATGTGCATGTGCATGTGCGTGTGCGAAAGATAGAGAAAGAGAGAGAGAGAGACGTTAGCTCCTCGCCAGCAGGGACATTAGCCTTGGCAATGAGTACAATCCGACTTTCATCATCCCCCACACTCATGATCCTTGCGTAGCAGTTGGGCATACACTGCACACAGAATTTGAGACAGCCATCAGTAAAACAGAACTTCAAGCATCAACCACTTCTAGCAAAACTTGATGGTTAACTTCTGCAAACGACTTACTGAATGGTTGATCAAGCGTGCTATATTTCCTTTGTCGGTGGCATCGACAACTACTTCTTCGCTAATCTTAAAAAGCTGTCAGATATATCACAACCACGGTGTAAGTTGATATGCTGTTATCAAAATGATGTCTAAATATTTACAGATGTTTGAACTAACATTTTGTCTAGCCTACACTTGTGAAGCTTGGATTATAAAAACTAGAAGAACAGTTCATATAGAAACTTAGGTTTGTGTAATCATTTGTATAACTCTCCGTGGAGCTTGAAAGTTAACTTCATATTCATGTAACTTGAACTTCTAAGATTCCGTGTGATATCAGTATGGTTCTAAAAAATAAAACTTATAAACACTAGTCCTACCAATAAGTTTCTTTTCAAAATCTTGAATTTGGCTAAGAAATCTTTTTTTTTTCCCTCATGGTGGATGTGGTTGTTGTCTTCTCATAATAGTGTGATTAATAGCATCAAGTTCAAATTTGAAATAAAATTAAAAAAAAAAAAAAAGGTACGAGTCTAACATACATAGCAGTCTTTGCCCGCCGATCTGTACCGCGCCTCCCTCAGATCAGCAATAGTGCGCCTCACTTGTTCACCGCGATATTCAAGAACCTGTGAACAAGACGGTTGAACATCAGTTCAAACCACTTATTAAACATGATCACTCCCATCACACATCAAAAGAGGAAATTGAGTTCCAATACAGCTGATCAAATCAACTTTTAGTATGCAAAAACTTCCCAATATCTATTCATTTTACATTGTTTCTCACGTTATGATCACATTGAGCATGCCAATTACATCTCATAGGGAATAATGTTCAGTAGCTGGTGACAAGCAATAACTCATCATGAAGTGCAATAGCATAGCATAACAAAAAGGCATCCAATTTACATGGCTCCATACCATTTCTCCTTCTTGAATGTTTCTACGTGCGAAAAGCCCCCATCCATGTATACCAGATCTACCGAAGCATACCCGGTCATTCTCCGTTCTCTGGAATTTCACGCCACACATGAGAAGAAAATCAGATACCAAACAAGGAAACATCATTTGTAGAAGAAAATGGAAGGAACTACCTGTAAGTGGTGCAATCGATCCCGAAATGAGGAAAATATCTTTGGTTCCTCAACCATCGGTAACTGTAAGGCAACAGCGAAGTAAACTTTATCTCGTTCTAAATGGAAGGGGGTCGGGCAGATTCTGTATATACTTTAAATAAGGAAGAACTTTACGCTGAATGTATTAAGACTTTGTAATGCTTGTAAGGGATGACGGCGTGGCCCCATCACTTTGTGTATAACCGTTTCCTCTACCGTTCTCTAGTGGCAACAAAAGTAGAAGAAAGATTATTAAGGCAAATGTGGTGGGTCATATAAATAACTATATACTATACTTTCAATCTGCACAAAATTTTCACCTTTACAATTATTTTAACTACAACCAACTTTATACTATACTTTTTTCGTTTCATTTCGTCTACGATTTCAGTCTCCATATCTCATCCCGAGGACTACGTACCATTTCATTATCACAACCGCTATAAGTTGGCTCAAGGAATAGAATTCACAAAATAAAAAACTCAAGCAATCTAAGAGTAAATTAGATATGCAAAACATGGACTACCTTCTTCACACTGGTTGATCTTTTATAAACTTGACACCTTGCAGCAGAAAATGGCTCAAGCTCAGAAGTTTCAGATACTGCTTCTATTTCCTTTCTGCTAGATGAAATTAACCTCGAACCAGCTCTCTTCTTATTTTGAAGAAGGCTTTTAGTAGAAAATACACCAAGAGGAGTCTGTACGATAAGAACGGTATCCGGATTGGGAGCCCTAAATCAAGGTGAGATGAAAAATTACTATTGAATAAAATGTGATCAGAAACCAAGAATCATGTGAAAACAACATAAGATGTTTCAAACAAACCCAAATTAGAAAGCAATACCTATGATAAGCACAATAAGATACCATTTTCGTGACTTGTCTACCATTCTTCTCCAGGCAGTGCAACTGCAAGAACACAAACTATTAGTATTAGACATCTAGTCTTGCTAAAACATTACATTAGTAGGATTGGGCATAAGGCTTTGTTTCAAATATTGATTCAATTTACATAAACTTAAATCAGAAACGAGAATCATAAATGGTTTGTAAAGCTGTAACTCGATGAATTAACAGCTTCATGCATAAACTTTTAACACCTAAAGAACAGCAAGAGAAGATGCATGCAAATACATCGAAAGAAAGCTATAAAATAAAAAGGAGATGGTGCTTTTAGATCAATTAGCAGCATACAACTCAGAAAATGAAAATCAATTTCCAATAAGAGGTTAAAATGTATAGAGGTTAAAATGTATAGAGGTTGACCATCAACACAAGCTCAGACATATGAAGATTGAACAGCAGCATCCATTTACATGTTAAAGAAAAACAGTAACTGTGACAATAAAGAATACCTCCATGCAATAGCCTGCTCTTGATGCACACATAGCATGGTAGTAAGTAGAACATTTGCAGCATTGCATGCATGAACCGTGAATTTGCTTACAGATTACACAAATCTGGAATTCATGAAGACGAGTATTTAGTGAAGATTAGGAAAAGTAAAGGAAAATCAAAAGCTTCGCAAGAACAGCGCAAAACACCATTAAAAAATATAGACATTGAACCTTTACAAAAGAATTTGATGGGATACTCAAGATACCAAGAGCAGGTTCCATTTTCTCATCACTTGCAAAGGAGACTTCAGGCCTAAACCAAGCACAGGTAACATGAACCCATAATGTATCGACGTCTGTGGGCTTCAAGGCACCCCCTACACAATATATAAATTATCAGCAGCAGGGTAAAGATATCACTTATGATTCAATACTGAAAAGAAAAATGCACATGATTTGTGATCTATTGCAAGTGATAACCAGATAATAAAAAAACTATTCAGCGAAATGATCAGCCAGGATACTTGTGGAGATGAGATTTCGAGAGACTTGAAATAAATCGCAAGAGAAGAACTATATTATAAAGAGAACGTATCTAGCTTAATGCTAAAGGTAAATAGAATAATTACAGCAAACAAATTCATAACTTATTTGATCCACAAAATGAAGAAAACAAAACCTTTTACTGGACAGAGGCAACATTCCCGCTTAACATCAGGAGTTTCACACACTTTACAGACCCAAGATGTTAAATCCCGAACATTTCTAGCTCCATAGCATTCTTGATGAACTGCTATTTGACATCTGATACATTTTTTTCCACACCGAAAAAAAAGAATCAGTGATAATATATTTACAGAAACAGACTTGTTTTGGAACAAATAGATCCAAGAAAACAAGTTATTCCAGAAGTCTCTTATAAAAAACGTTATTGCAGAAGTCAGAACAAACATGCAATATTTAAAATGAAAGGGAATACCTGCTACTGAAATTTCAGTAGACAGGCACTTAATCTCAAAGGATGTAAAAGCCATTAAGGTGAAAATGCAGAGGTTAAAGGGCTAGACCAAATATAAAAAATATTTAATATCAACCTACCAAATTGCCAAATTTCAGAGATGTAATTGAGAAAGAATGGGGCTTTTGGCCTGAATAATATTGTATTTGATACAGGTAATGAGACAGATAATCATCTTTTTACAATACCTGTTGCAGATAATAATCTTATTGTAGTCCCAGTCCTCAACCCATCTACAGACAGCACATCTTTCTGTCGTCCATTTTGCATAAACGGGTTCATATTTCTCTGAGACAGCAAGAATGACAAAGTTAGTTTGGGTTATCAAAACTTGGAAGGCTAATGTAGCGCTAAACACACTATTTTCCACAGCAAAGAATATTACATCTCAAAAAGAGGAGCAAATGAAAATTCAGGTATACCCTGCAAAAAAGCGAGCAACTTTTGCCTTCGTTCTTTCATGGAAGGCCGTTTAGGATGCTTGACAGAAGCAGCACTTGCATGGTACTCGGCTAACTGCAGCATCTGCAAGGACATGTAATATAATATTA